TTGATAATCTTAAATTTAAATCGAAACTGAGCTTACCCTATTTTTGTTTCATGTCATGAAAGCAAAGAATCTCATAGCAAAACTTAGCGAACTAAAATTTGTTTTCATACTATGAAGGCGAAAAATGTGAAATAAAGCTAAATTAAGCTATTTATGTGTCATATTACGAAGACATATAATCTTTAAGTGAAACTGAGCTAACTATATTTTTATTTCATACTTCACAGGCAAAGAATCTCAAAGCGAAACTGAGTTAACTATATTTTTATTTCATACCACACAGGCAAAGAATCTCAAAGCGAAACTGAGCCAACTGTGTATGTATGTCATAATACGAAAACGCGCATAATCTCAAAGCGAAACTGAGCCAACTCACCCCTGAGCTCATAGCCAGAGCCTGCAGCCGTCAGGTTGACCATACAGTGGTAGGTGCCCGCGTGGGTGACGCTGAGCGAAGAGAAGTACAGTCGTCCTGTGGTGGCGCTGGGGAAAACATCCGGGTGGCTCCACTCGTTGATGAGGTTGAAGGAGTAGTCTTGACCTCTGTACCAGCTGTACGTCAGTCCGGGGTCGCCGTAGATGTACGGACACTCGAGGACCTTCGTCTCGTAAGCCGTTCCGTTGACCGTTAACTTCCCGGTTTCGGAGAAATCCGTGATGAGCCCGTAGCTCAGTCTCGCTACACGACTCATGACGGCGCCGACGTGGTTGTACGCGCGGCATTGGAAATGCAGTGGTTGGGGTCCCGAGCTCAAGAAGAAATCCTCCACGGAGAATTCTAGAACGCTGTCGTCTCCGTCGAAATAGATGGAGTGGAGATCGTCGTTCATCAAGTAATTGAACTTAGGGGAAGGGTCGTATTCACTTCTGGAGAACCAGTCGTAGGTCGGCGAGGGCGCGGACGGGTGACTTTTGGCCCGGCACCGGAACTTCACGGTGGTCAGTTGACCCACGACCTTCACGTCTGTCGGTTGTTGCGTGATGTCCAGCCCGGTGAATAGCTCCATCGAGTGGCCTTTTCCGTGGGCGGGGCCTAGCATGATTGACAGCCAGAGGCAGGCTGTAATGACGGCAAGTGGGCGGAGCATCTTGCTGAGTGCTGAGGAAGAACAAACGCAAAGGACTTGGCTCATAGTTTATACATGTCTATATTTTTTTGAAAGTTCGTCATCACTTTGGTCGCCAGTACCTTCCGAACCTTTTGACTTTAGATTTGAGAAGAATAGTGTGTGTGTGTGTGTGTGTTTGTGTGTGTGTGTGTGTGTTTGTTTGTGTGTGTGTGTGTGTGTGTTTGT